AAATAATTTCATATATGCTATATCACACCATCCAGTCAGCGCCATTAAAGGTAAAAGTAAAGGTTCCCCTTGACATTTTAGTCAGTCGTGTTCGACTCTAGAGGGCAGTGCTCATCCCCGTTTCCAAGCCGTAGAGCCAGCATTTGTCCAAAGACAGTTTCGATAGTAACGTGGCCAGCGCAGCTATACATGGAACACTGGTTACCTTTCCACCGAGGTGGTACCTATTTATCTACTCGCATTTACATGCTTTCGAACTGCTAGGTTGGAGCTGGGACAAAGCGACGGGAGCTCACTCCGTCACATGGATTCGATCTTACGACTGCTGGTCTTCTGACCCTGCAGCACACAAAGGCTTCTGCGGTTTAGCTCGCACCACCACCACGTCCCTTAGTCAGCACCATTACTCTACCCTAATCAACATTTAGCCCTTAAGTCTTAATCAAAACACCATAATGACCAGTCAGCCATTTTGCTATCTGTATTTTGTTGTTGTTGTTGTTTAGTAATTAAGTCATGTCCGACTCTTTGTGACCCCATGGACCAGAGCACGCCAGGCCGTCCTGTCTTTCACTGACTCCCTGTTTATAAATATGGTTTCCACACCATATCCTGTATGATAAACATTATGGAATTCTCAGTTTTCCATTTCTTTCTCTTACTCATCCTTATAGGGCCTAATATGTAAATAGTGACCCTTTTTGGTCAGAGGCCATGTCCAAAGTGATGCCCTTTGTCTCAGTCCAGTCCCATGTGCTCTATTCATAAGGCACAACTTCTAATATCTGCTTGAATGAGTCTAAAATCTCAGTTTGCTTTGAGATGTTTAATGCTTCAGAGTTGTCAGCAACAGCAATTTCATTCTCTCCGCTTCAATATGAGTGGCTGCTGACATCCCCTTTGAAACTGGTGCAGCATAGCCTGGAGATACTCTTCAGAGTAGAAGGAAGAGGATTTTGAAGTGTTTTTTCCCCTTAGTTACAAGTCAGATTAGAAATTCAAAGTGATCTTATATCTCCTGCTGTAACTGCTGTACTGGCAACATGTCTGCTAGCAATCGCAGGGCTTGTGTTCCAAAGAAGGCAGACCATTCCTCACTCATTCCTGTTATAAAATGAAGGACTTCATTTCTCCCCTAATGCCTGAAGCATGCTGCTGAGCTTTTGTGAACCTCCCAAATGATAAGCCTTTTTTTGTTTTGTTCCTTTTTTTAAAAAAAAAGATGTTGGACTTTCTACTGGTGTTTCCCATTTGGCTTAAGACACAAAGATATTGCCTTGAGCGATTAGTCTTGGAACAGATCTGGTATTCAGTCCCATTTATAAAAAAGGAAGCATGTCGATATGAGGGGAGATTGCTTTAAAAAATGATCTTTACTTTAGAAAAGTCCACATTCATTCCAACAGCTGTGTGAGAGGCAAAATGAGAATATCTCTTTACCTGAATGGGCTTCCTGCAACCTTGTTGGAGACGATAAAAGTACATAAACTTGCATTTTATTTTCAAGAGGCTGATGACTGTTTGCTCAGATGTACATTACATATGCTGTAGCACAATTTGCACTAGCAGCAAAGAAGCTGAGGCTTCGATTTGTCAGGGATCATAATGCCACATAAATGTTGTATAAAGTGGATTGATGTTTTACATTATGACAATATTTTTAGATCGGGTTTTATTGGTTTTGATGGTTTTGATGGTTTTAAGGCAATTACCTGTTTTAATTGGATTTTATATGCTACAGTAGTCAATATATTGTAAAGGTCTATGGCCAGAAACAATAAAGTTTATATGTATGTACATATGAGCTACCAACATGAATTTGACCCAACTCCAGGAGGCAGTGGAAGACAAGAGAGCCTGGTGTGCTCTGGTCCATGGGGTCACAAAGAGTCAGACACGACTAAACAAACAAAAAACAGATGGGAAACAGGCTACAGTTTTCCTATTTTGGGATTGAAGGAGAACACATCTTGCAGTGTAAGGAAAGTACGGACTGCTGTGATGATAGTGATGATTAGACATGAATTTAATCCAGACCCCATGTCCTCCCATCATCTGGAAGTCAAGCAGACGTTCATCTCAACAGGCTGAAATTGAGCCTGTAAGCATCTTTGGCTAAATGAGAGCATCTGTCATCTGGAGTTCTACCTTACAGGCTTATCTTCAGAAATTCGAACAGAATGAGGAAATTTTCACATTGGGTCAAGGCTTTGTGTGCCCCATCCCCACAACAGCTAAAGCCCTCTGCACTTTCATAAATGGGGTCTCTATCAATGTAGTTTTGAAGAGCTTCTCTAAGACATTTCACAGACATTTGACTTTTCTTGACTTTTCTCCTCAACTTCCTTTTCACCACTTTCTTTCTTTCTTTCTTTCTTTCTTTCTTTCTTTCTTTCTTTCTTTCTTTCTTTCTTTCTTTCTTTCTTTCTTTCTTTCTTTCTTTCTTTCTTTCT